TAAGGTCTTGGTTGAGATGAAAGGTTTAGCCGAAGGTCGAGGGTTCGAATCCCGCTCGTGACTTTTTCATCTCAACCAAGGCCTTAGATAAAAGAATAATAAATCCAATTAGCACTGCGAAATTCTAATATATTTTGAAAATCAGGAGAAAAAAATTCCGCACAATTGAAGCAATTTATAGTGGTCGTTGGTAGGGTGGCTATGGTCAATAATAAGGGTTGTACAAATGACGATTTCCATTATTTATTGTGGAATGCGTACTTAGAAAGTGGTGATATTGGACTGGACTGTCTTAGCTTAGCGTTAGGGCTTGTTAATTAGCCGACCTCGTGGAAAAACCGGCGCTTCTGCGGTCCAAAGACGTCATCACGCAAAAAAACCAAATAGTTGTTTTTAGTTTGGAAGAAAAATTCACGGTATAAATAAATAACAAATGCCCAAAGTTAAGTCGACTAGCAATCAGGGCAAAGGGCAGGGATAAACAAACAAGAGTAGGAGTTAATAATAAAATTACAAAAGTTAAAACAAGGGAAATAGTTTTAAAATAATTAAAATTTACAGGCAAGTTTGGAAAGAGACAGAATGAACAGATGGAGCTTGAAAGAGATGAGTAAATGTTAAAAGTAGCAGCAGGTGTTCAAACAGAACCAACCGTACTTAACTCGGCTAGGAATTCGAGAAAAATATAAAATTAATAAAACGAACACCACAATCGTAAAACGCGTTGATTTATACTCAATGAGCCCAGACAACATTTACAAATCTAATTAGGAGGAGGCTTAAAAAAGAAAGTATTGGAAAGGATGGAAGAATGGAAAAATGGAGTGATGATGATGATGGATACTAGGAAGCGGGGTTTGTGCTCTCCAGGCATTGCAGCCTTCTAGCTCATTCACCTGGTACCCTTGAGGTTCCGTTTGGTAGTTACCCTTTACCATCCAACCATCGGTATAACATCTCGCATCGAGCGTCGTCGCATAACACTTAGATTGAGGCTGGATTGTGAGATTGGGTAAGAAAAGGGGTAAGGTATGAGTTGTAAGGTGTAGGAAGTGATATGTCCAGCTCCTGTTCCTCCGTTCCCCTCTTTCCGTCCATTTGATTAACGAGGTACACCCGCAAATTACTTCTTTCAGTTATGTAATTATTCTTTGTATGTAAGGTCCTGGTTGAAAAAAAAAAGTTAGAGACACGAGCGGGATTCGAACTCACGACCTTCGGCTTGGGTGGGTTCAAATCCCGCTCTTGACACTAACTTTTTCATTTCAAACAAGACCTTACATACAAAGAATAATTAGAAATAATGGAAGATAGAAAAACGAAAACATATAATTTAAAAGAGTGAAAAGTAATGCTAAAACAACAGCCATTCCTAGCTCCCTAGCTAGGCTAGTAAATCTTGCGAAGTTTAGAATAAAGAATGTCAAATATATGATTGAGCAGAGCTACAATTAAAACAAATGTTCGATCATTCAACTAATCAGAAATGTATTTTCCAGTTAGCCAAATAAGAGATTTAAGAAGAAAAGTAGTGTGTGAAGGAAAAGAAATGGGTTCGGATAGAAAAGGGAAGAAGGAACAGATGTCGTGAGAAACAGTTGAGAAAACGTGAGAAGCAGCAGATGTTGGTAAGAAAAGTAAATGTCTATAGATGGACTGGAATTTCGAAAAGAGAGTGATTCAAATAGCACGAGCAGGGTGTAATTAAGAAAAAACGTGGTTCTCAAAGACCCAAAGAGAACTGCATACAAAATTTGCCAAAAATTATTACGAGGATAAGAAGGAAAGTTGTATAAGAAAGTAGACGTAATCAAGACTTTTTAAAAATTAATTATAAGGAGGCATAAGAAGTAAAATAGACGGGAAAGTGGAAAGAACGAACGTTTCATTTGAGAAAGATATGAGAACATGAGAGAAGGAGAAGATTCATATGAAACATAAACCTTCCTGACTCGATCATAATTGCGAAGAAAATCTGCAAAGAATGGAACAAATAAGTCGAATGTCACGCGCTGATTTATAATTAAAAGAAATAACAGCTTATTCAAAGGGATCAGAAGATTTTGGAAGATGGAAAAGCAACCAGATGGAAGAGAGATGATAAAATGTGAGAACCACGAATCAGCAGATGTTCAAACTTTCAATGGCCGGGCTTGGAAATAAAACAAATAACACGAGTAGGGCTTTAATTAATTGCTATCTGATTCCAAGAGAGACCAGTAAAACCTAGCTCTACTAGTAAATTTAGTAAAGAATATAAAACTAAGCCGAACATAAAGTCATAACGTTAACTTACAATTCAAAGGAATATCAGGCGCATAGTATAGCGAAAAGGAAATCGAATGGGTAAAATGGAAGAGAGAAGAACGAACAAATGAATTGAGAATATTTACAAAACAAAAAGAAAAGTGAGAATTGAGAATTTTTCCTCGTGCTTGATCTATAGCGAATATCAAACCTACTCAAAAGGAAAAAGAAATTTTATCACGAAGGACATAGCTGGTAGTTGAAATGGATGAGGCTCGGTGCATTTAACAACAGACAATTAACAGTGAAAAAAAATCAGAATGGATAGAATGACCGAGGATTTGTTTTAATGAATGTATTTGTCTTTACACTTTAAAGAGCATAAAAATGAGAATTGTGCATTTTTGTTCATCCTTGTTCTGTGGCAAATTTCTCACTTACTCAACAGTTAAATGAAATTTGTTCACGAGGACCATACCTGGTTATTGTCATAGGTAAGACGACGTGCCTTTGACAATAGAAAATTAAAAGTGAAAAATATCCGAGTGGATGGAATGACCTGTTTAAATGAATGTGCCTATGTGTTTACACTTTAACGAGGATAAAAGTGAGAATTGATAGTTTTTGCTCTCATATCATCAGGACCAAATCTGATAGTTGCAATAGTGAGATTCGTGCCTTTGACAATAGAAAATTAAGAGCAAAATACACTGATAGGCAAAACATTCAGCCCGATTGATTTTTTCATTTTCTCGATAAAAGAATATTTTGCCCTTAATTTGTCTCATTGTTTTTACCAATAAATATTTGTTTATACTATGTTTTATGCTGATAATATCAATTAGAGGTAAACACACTTAATCTTTAATCCAAAACAAGGATAAAGGATTTATCAATGTTTACTTTTTACGGAATTTAAAATGTTTATTCAATCTCATTTGAATTCTGATACAATAAACTGTTTACTTTTCATCTTTGTTTTCTTAATTTCAATTTTGAAACTTAAAAATGCCACTTAGTGCTGAGGATGTTGCGCGTGGTGTGGCACTTGTTAATGATGAACGTTCCATCAGGTATGCTGCTATTGCCATCGGAGATGTCGTTTTCGATAAACTGGGTCCTACCATAGAAGGCCCGGTTCTGGACGCCCTAGGGTAACAGAACCACAGGATGTCCGTTTTTTTGACTTTGAGAATTTTACGAAACCGGCACCCTAATGTTGTTCAAACGAATCATCAGCTCCAGCAAGTTCGAGGAGTCCAAATTTCCGAACGCACTGCTCGAAGAAGATTATATCAGTATGAACTGATCGCTTTTAGCCCACCAGAATTGACCAGAACACACAGAGTTGCATAGCTCGCATTTGCTCGAGAAAACAGCCATTGGTCTTCTTTGGACGATTGGTCCGCTGCACTTTTTACAGATGAGTGTATATTTCCTCTACAATCTTCAGATAGGCATGAAAGAGTGTGGACAAGGCGGAATGAAAGGTAAAACGCCTATAATTTTTCCCACGGCCAACCTTTTCAACGTAGCTCAGTGATGGTGTGGGCGCGAATTTCAATGGAGAGTCGCACAGAGTTGGTTGTTGTTTGTGGAGGGTCCACTCGTTATGTGGATGAAATTTTGGAACATCATGCGTTGCCTACCTTCGATGAAATCAGCGACAATCCTATTCTAATGCACGATAATGCCCGTCCACATGTACCTCCTGTAGTACAAACGTACCTTCAACAGCATAAAATCAGGGTCTTAGTCTGGCCAGCCCGTTCTCCAGACTTGAACCCCATCGAACATTTATGGGATAACCTCAAAAGACGAATAAGAGCACATCCATCATTTCCTGATACACTCCACGAATTTGAAAGGACTCTTTTTGAAGAATGGGCTAACTTCCAGCAATGAGACATTCCCAGAATGCTAGAAAGTATGCCGAGGCGTCTTTGAGAAGTAATTAACGCAAAAGGAGGAAATACGCGATCTTAAAATGTCAATTAAAAATGTAAAACAATATTAAAACAAATTTTATCTGTTCGTCTTTATTTATTTATTTTTTTTTTCATTTTCCGTAGCAATTTGTATTTTTTTACTTTTTTAGATAGACTCAATTATTAAACTTTAAAAACGTGAAACTTTGATTAATATGTAAATGTATGTACAAATCACGTTATATTACAAGTGGGCGGAATTTTTTGTCTGTCAGTGTATATCGGAGTGAATGGAATGATTGAGGACTTGTTTAAATGAATGTATGTGCCTTTACAATTTAAAGAATATAAAAGTGAGAATTGAGAGATTTTTCTCTCGATTGATATGTGGCAAATATCACACCTATTCAAAAAGTAAGATGAAATTTTATCACTAGTTTTAATAGGTGAGGCTCGTGCCTTTGACAATAGAAAATTAAGAGTGAAATATATCCGAGTGGATGGAATGATTGAGGATTTGTTTAAATGAATGTGCCTATGTGTCTTTACAATTTAAAGAGAACGAAAGTGATTAACGTGAGAATTTAGTTTTTGCGATATTTTTGGGTAGGTCGGCCGTGAACGGAGTCGGAGGCGAGGTTCTTTTGTGTTTTGCCCTCCAGGCTATGGAGCGGGTGTTCTGGCGGGTGGCGAAGTGACCGGTAGGCGTGGTGGGGGGTTCGGTAATGCGCGTGACGGCTTCGTGTGGGGGGGATCGTCGAGCGGGGGCGGGTGGAGGCTTCGTTGCCAGCGGGCGAGCCCAAGTTGGTTTGGGGCCGAGGGCTGCCGGTTCGCCCGAAGAGGGGAGCGGGTCGTCATCACCCCCACCTCTCAACGTCCGCCTCCCCCCCGCTTTCCAGTTATCGACTCGCCCGAAAGTGCTTGTTCGCTTCGCCTTTTCTCCCATCCCTGTTATAACATTTAATGTACCTCACATTTTACGCGAATCTCGTTTGAAAGGCGAAAATATTCGAAACTGGATTTTTTTTCCCTCGGAGGAGATCGTCTTAGGAGAACGAACTGGTACGCGGCCGACTGTAGTGATTCGACCAGTGCTAAAGAAGAATAACTACAACTTAATTAGTTTAAGAAGAGACGTTTTCCTTTTCCGTCGCTGGCTCCCTGATTTCAGGGGGGCAAATATCACATCCACGAGACAACATAACGTGATTCGTTAATCAATTTATTTCCGGTAAGTATTTAGTTTTTTTTTCCACTCTTCCAGCTGGGCCCGTTCGATTTCGTTAGGGGCGTAAATATTTACTCCGAATCCGACCCGATGTCGGGTCACAACACGACTCCCCGACCGCTGAGGTTAGGACGAAAACATTGTCAATATCCCCGGATCTTTTGCTCTCCTGTTTTGTTTTGAAACTCTTTCCGATCGATACGGGTTTTTTCTCATTTGGGATAGTCTTTTGGACGGGATTTTCCGTAGTTTTTTTTTGTACCAGTCCAGTCTCGAGCTTGAGGGTCGTTTTTCCACCCGAAATATGGTGACCTCTCCCCCGTACACGTCGGCCGTCGTCGGACCATTGGCAAAAATTCATCCCTACGTTAAAAAAGCTCTTTTTCTCCTTATTTCATTCCCAGTTTCCAGGTCGATAACGTCGAATACGACGAGGGGCAGACGTTGCCCTTTTCCCGAGAAAATGGGCTTTTTTTCCCAAACGCGTAGTTCGCTCCTCCCTTTGGAACTCTTCCACTCAGTCCGAGCGGATTCCTGGAAACATACTCGTTCTTCTTGATTTCTACATTTTTTTTTTCTTTTTTATTGCCGTGAAATCGCCCAACCGAAAACATTTAACGACACGACTGGAAAACAAGGGGGGATTCCAGATTTCCAGCCAGTATTTAGCTTCCGTATTTCCATCCCAACCTCTGACCTCGGATTTTGAACCTTTGCCGTCTCCCGACGTGTAAAATGACGAGGGATCTTTCATCCCTTTACCGATTTTACGGAGTCGAAAATGGCAGTGAAACAGATTGAGGCCGAGCATCGTTTCAACTCCTGGTTTTCTAATTTTAAAAAAAGTTGTAAAAATATTAACTAAAATTTTAACAAATGCTTGTGTACAACGAGCACAATGGACACAAAATCGTTTCAGTCCACGTAATAGAGAAAAGTGGTATGGGAATTTTTGTTGTTGTGTTAGAGGTTAGGTTTTCTACCAGGATGTCTCTCGCTCCGTTTAAACCATCCAGAGCTTTACAACGAAAAAAAGAGAAAAAAGTTTGTCGATATAATAGTATTCTTTCTGTCGATAACCGTTTATCGGTGATTTATACAAATAAGGAGAAATTATGCTTAAAAGAAACGGGGTTTCATCTCATGGAATGTCCCATCATCTTCTGTCGGTATGGCGAAATAGAAAACAAAACAAAAATTGGATTTTCGGTAGATTATTTCTGAATTAAACACAATTCTATCATTCTCCAATGTAGTATAAAAAAAATAAATAAATCACATGCGTAACGGGAAAGATTTAATTTAAACTTAATTAGGTGGAAAACAAGCATAACTTGAACTTGGCTCAATATTGTTCCATGATTCAAATAACCAAATTTCTCGTTGAACTGTAGTAATATCGTTTAAAACGAAAGGGACGAAAACTGGTTGATTTACAGTTAGCTACACCGCAAACGTCATAGGCTCATTCTTAGCCACAGAACAGAGAAAAAAACCATTTCTCTAAAATACCAAAAAATCCATTTGGACTAGAGACTATTAAACAACGGAAAACATAGTTGTTGTTTTTTAATCAGGTGAATGTTTTTAACGACCTTTGTACGGATTCGCTGTAAATCATTGCCAGAGGTCGTTCTTTCAGGAATTATTCTTATTTATTTATTTTATAACTGAAATCTGTCGTAGAATTTCAGTTTCACTTAGTCTCATTCTCGAATTAAGAAATTGTTATCCATAAACCAATCTTAAGAATCTTTCTCATCGCTGCCCCTTCCTCGCTAAGAACAAATTCAATTGTCTCCGTTGGATAATCTCATCCGTTGGTCAGGACTTTTCGACAGTGACACAACAGACACTATTAATTCAATTAATTAAAAATAATAATAATATTAAACAAATCCAGCGGTCGAAAATATTATTAACCGTTGTTCAAAATACTCGCTTATTTCACTTTTTGATAAGGCGATTTTTCTCCCTTTAAAATCCTCCTTGGCTTTCTCTTGTGGGAAATATTTGTAATAATAGTCTTTTTCTTTTTGGCGATAAATTTATCAAAGATAATCGCCGCCACCAGGGAAAATTCGCTCAGAGCATTTCTGAACGTTTCAACGGCATGAAATCAGACTGTAAAACATATCTACACAATAGTATGAATTGTTATTGTGCAGCATAACAATTCCATAATACAAGAATGTAAGTTATCCCATTTTATTAATGAAATTTATATCAAATAAACAGGCTTTTAAGTGATAATATTGGTCTTAATTCTAGCTTCTTTTTTCCTCTATCTCTAGGCCGTAAGTACTAAACTGAACTCCAATTTTATCTGTCAACTATTTACATTTACAAATCGTATCTTTCTCAGGATTTTGGAATTCTCTGATGACAAAGTATATTTCCAACAGTTAGAAATCTGTATATGTATAGATCCATTTTGTAAGATTTTGGACACAATCGACTAAAATGTGTGCAAATTTTCCTCTCTTCTCACTGATTTTTATTCAAACAAGACAAACATCATTTGTTTTATGTAAAATTTTCTTTTGTGCAATAAGTATCTGTGTCTATTAAATCAGCAACGTCAATTAGCTATTTTTTATAAGTTAACTAAAACTATTAGCATAGTTTGATGGAATTCCAGAAACAAATTTAAAAAAGACTCACTGAAAATGATTGCCTCGTTTTTCCTGTTGACTTTTTATTTTTAGGTTTAATGTTTGGAGGTTTTACCATGTCCTATTGAAATATCCCAGAAAAGAATTCAAAAAAAGAATTATTGTAATCTTTATACGTTAATGTTCTTACTCTTGCATTTTTATTCTAGGGTTGGTGTATAGAGGTTTTACCTTGTCCAGAGAAAAAAAACCGATTAAAAAATTTAAAAAATCTCAGTATAAACGTTTGCCTTTTTCTTCTTCTGGAATTTTATTTTAAGGTTAAGTATAAGGTGGTTTTACCATATCCTATTGAAATATCCCAGAAAAGAATTCAAAAATGAATTATTGTATTCATTTGTACTGTTCTTACTCTTGCATTTTTAGTCTAGGGTTGGTATATAAAGGTTTCCCCTTGTCTAGTTAAAAAAAATCTATTAAAAAATTTAAAAAAACCTCAGTGCAAAGGTTTGCCTTGTTCTCCCTCTTGACGTTTTATTTTTAGGTTTAGTGTTTGGGTGTTTTACCATGTCCTATTGCAATATTACAGAAAAGCATTCAAAAAATGAATCATTGTAAACATTTGTAATGTTTTTACTCTTGCATTTTTAGTTCAGGGCTTGGTGTATAAATATTTTAACATGTCCATTTAAAAAAAATTTGGTTAAAATTTTATAAAAACCTCAGTGTAAGCTTTTACCTTGTTCTTCCTCTTGACTTTTTATTTTTAGGTTTAGTGTTTGGGTTGTTTTACCATGTCCTATTGCAGTATTACAGAAAAGCATTCAAAAAATGAATCATTGTAAACGTTTGTAATGTTCTTAGTCTTGAATTTTTAGTTTAGGGCTTGGTGTGTAAAGATTTTAACATGTCCAGTTAAAAAAAATTCATTAAAAATTTTTATAAAAACCTCAGTGTAAACGTTTGCTTTGTTCTTCCTCTTGACTTTTTATTTTTAGGTTTAGTGTTTGGAGGTTTTACCATGTCCTATTGAAATATCCCAGAAAAGAATTCAAAAAAGAATTATTGTAATCGTTTATACTGTTCTTACTCTTGCATTTTTATTCTAGGGTTGGTGTATAGAGGTTTTACCTTGTCCAGAGAAAAAAAACCGATTAAAAAATTTAAAAATTCCTCAGTATAAACGTTTGCCTTTTTCTTCCTCTTGAATTTTATTTTAAGGTTAGGTATAAGGTGGTTTTACCATATCCTATTGAAATATCCCAGAAAAGAATTCAAAAAATGAATTATTGTAAACATTTGTACTGTTCTTACTCTTGCATTTTTCGTTTAGGGCTCGGTGTAAAAAGATTTTAACGTGCCCAGTTAAAAAATCGATTAAAAAATTAAACAAAAACTCAGTGTAAACGTTTGCCTTGTTCTTCCGCTTGACTTTTTATTTTTAGGTTTAGTATTTGGAGGTTTTACCATGTCCTATTGAAATATCCCAGAAAAGAATTCAAAAAATGAATCATTGAAACGTTTGTACTGTTCTTACTCTTGCATTTTTAGTCTAGGGTGTGTTTAGAGGTTTCTCCTTGTCCAGTTTAAAAAAAAAATTCGGTTAAAAAATTTAACAAAACCTCAGTATAAATGTTTGCCTTGCTCTTCCTTTTGACTTTTTATTTTAAGTTTAGTGTTTAGGGGTTTTAGCATGTCCTATTGCAATATTACAGAAAAGCATTCAAAAAATGAATCCTTGTAAACGTTTGTAATGTTTTTACTCTTGCATTTTTAGTTTAGGGCTTGGTGTATAAAGATTTTAACATGTACAGTTTAAAAACATTCGATTAAAATTTTATAAAAACCTCAGTGTAAACGTTTTTGTTCTTCGTCTTGACTATTTTTCGATTTAGTGTTTGGGGGTTTTATTATGTCCTATTGAAATATTACAGAAAAGAATTCAAAAAATGAATCATTGTAAACGTTTGTACCATTCTTACTCTTGCATTTTTAGTTTAGGGTTTGGTGTATAAAAATTTTAAAATGTCCAGTTTAAAAAATTCGATTAAAAAATTTAAAAAATCCTCAGTATAAACGTTTGCCTTTTTCTTCCTCTGGAATTTTATTTTGGTGTTAAGTATAGGGTGGTTTTACCATATCCTATTGAAATATCCCAGAAAAGAATTCAAAAAATGAATTATTGTAAACGTTTGTACTGTTTTTACTCTTGCATTTTTAGTTTAGGGTTGGTGTATAAAGATTTTAACATGTCCAGTTAAAAAATCGATTAAAAAATTAAACAAAAAACTCAGTGCAAACGTTTGCCTTGTTCTTCCTCTTGACTTTGTATTTTTATGTTTAGTATAAGTTTAGTAGTTCGGTACCATGTTCCAGAAAAAAAATTCAAAAGAAGTTTCATTCTAAATGTTTACCTTCTTCTTCTTCCTCCTCTTGAATTTTTATTTTATGGTTTATTATATGGAGGTTTTACCATGTCCAGTCCAAAAATCCCAGATAAAACTCAAATGTTGACCGAATGTAAATGTTGAATTGTTCTTACTCTTGAATTTTTATTTTAGGGCTTAGAATGTAGAGGTTTTACTGTGTCCAGTCGAAAAATCCCAGGAAAAATTTCGAAAGAAGACACAATGTAAATGTTTCTACTATTTTTACTTTTTATTTTTTGGCTTTTACGGCCAGTTAAACATTTCCAGAAAATAATTCAAAAGAAGACTCACTGTAAATGTTTGAATTGTTCTTACTCTTGAATTTTTATTTTAAGGCTTAGTATGTAGAGGTTTTACCGTGTCCAGTCGAAAACACATAGAAAAAACCGAAAAGAAGACTCATTGTAAATGTTTGCATTGTTATTCCTATTGTTCTTATTCTTGAATTTTAATTTAAGGGCTATGTAAGGTAGCCCTAGTAAATTTTAAGTAATGCGGCTTTACCATGACCAATTGAAAAATTCCGAAAACTTAATAACAAAGATTCTCTTGAATGTACAATACATGGTATCTTCATTTGTATTGTGTAAACATTATAATCACCTGTATATTCCTTTGTTTTTGTCTTGATATTGGTAATACTGTTTTAATAGTATTTTTCGTTTATTCTCACATTCACATTCAATGTGTTTATTTCCTTTTTTTTGCCAATGTCTTACAACTTGACATTTTGAAATTGGTAAAATTCCCATTTTATTTAAATTGTCTATTGTGAATATTGAAACAGTGTTAAAAATTGTTAGTTAATTCAACTTACCTTTTTTATAATTCGGTTTTGTTTTAACACTTTATCTCAGTACATAAAAAATTGTGTTGTTTGTTACTTAAAATATTTGAAAAATAATGTTCTTGTTCCTATGTTCTGCACAAATCTTCCATTTTGAATATGTGAAAATGGATGAAATAAACAAATTCAATGTATATCTGCCAAGCTTTCAACCAATTTTAAGGCCATCATCAGGTCCTGTATTAATTACACATTGTGAATACATTATAAACTCCTGCTCAAAATTAACGCACCACCTTAATTTTTAAACAGAAATTCTTTTTAGAGAAATCCAGCTAAATCTCTTCATGTTTATTCTCTTTTTTATGCTTCACAATCCCACAAAAGTAAACAAGAATTGTTTACAATCGTGTTAATCCGCTTTGAAATGGATTTGGTAAGATACACAAGAGTTTCCTCCTGGTTTATTCCTCAGTTTCACTGCATCTGCTTAACAGACACCATTTCTTTTGGAAGTTTAAACTTTAATTTAGAACTTATGGCGCCCATAAGACATTTGAGTGAGCGTGAAGCCGTCAGAGCGATGACTCTTCTTGAGGAGGGCTACAGCCAGCGACAAGTTGCAAGAATAATTGGATGTCACCATACCACCATCGGAAGAACTCTCCAACGGTTCAATGAAACTGGCAGCAACACACGGAGGCCTGGACAAGGACGTCCAAGAGCAACGACCGAGAGGGATGACCGATTTTTGCGCTTACATGCCCTCAGAACGAGGCAGGTGACAAGTTCGGAAATGAGTAGCCTCCTTCAAAGCACCAGGAATGTCTCAATTTCGGCTCCCACTGTTCGAAGAAGGCTGAATGAGTTTGGCTTGAGCAGTAGACGGGTTGCTTCAGGGCCACTACTGACCAGAGACCACCGAGTAGCCAGGCTGCGATTTGCCCGGGATCACCTCAACTGGAGTTTTGATGCCTGGAAGAGAGTTTTATTTTCTGACGAAGTTAGAATCGCTCTTAATTCTCCAGATGGTCGTGCTCGGACATGGAGACGAAGTGGAGAAAGATTTGCTCAGTGCAATATTATTCCTCGCGTCGCCTTTGGTGGAGGCTCCATCATGTTCTGGGGAGGTATCAGCATGGAGGCCCGCACAGAGTTAGTCGTTGTTCCAGGACGGTCTCTAAATGCACCAAGGTATGTGGAAGAGATCCTCCAACCTCATGTAGTGCCTTTCGCTAGGAATATTGGACAAGGCTTTTTATTCATGCAAGATAACGCTAGACCTCACCGTGCGAGATCGGTGGAAGAATTTTTAAATGAACAGAATATTGAGCGGATTGAATGGCCAGCTCGTAGTCCTGACCTCAACCCTATTGAGCATATCTGGGATCAGCTAAAAAAAAGGATTAGGAGCCGAATACAACCTCCTAGCAACCTTTCGCAACTGCGCCAAGCGGCATTGGAAGAATGGGAGAATATTCCACAAGAAAGGGTAAAAAACCTCATCAACAGCATGAGAAGACGCCTGGATGCAGTAATCAAAGCCAGGGGAGGCAACACCAGATACTGAGTAATTAAATTTGTGTTTGAACTTAAATGAAAATTTTTGACCTTTTCAGTGGAATATTTTTTAATAAAGTTTACCGTCCTTTTCTGCTTTTCATTTTCATTTGTAATGTTTTATTATTAATAACCTACAATACTAAAAATAAAAATAACGTTCAAAAAACACCTGAGAAAAACATATGGTGAAATATTGAAGTGGTGCGTTAATTTTGAGCAGGAGTTTATGATATACAATATTATAATTTTACAAAACAAACTTAAAAATGTCTACAAACCGAAATAATTAACTTTTTAATAGATGATTTGAAATTTCTTGATCCCCCTCCAGTTTATACATACTTGCTTAGATGGTATTAACCTTTGCTTTGGTGGATTATGTATTCTCACCTTTACTACTAGTTTTTGCCCATCTACCACCCTGCCGTACCTTAGGGAGACCCTACACTGGAGTTACCACAATTTGGGTTATTCTTCTGAACAACAAAAACAGGAAAAAGTTTATAGTTATATTTAATAAACAAAAACCTTAAGGAAATCAGGGTGTCCCAAGAATATCATTTGTGTTATAGTTGAAATATAATTCCATATAGAGATGTTATATTGTGTCGATACATAAAATTATTATGTATATGTATAATTATTATGTATTTTCTGCTTGTTGCTTCAGTTGTATCGGTTTATTTACTTAACTATAATTTTTGAATAATGCTTTATTCTATTTTGAATATATGGATATGTTCATTCAATTAATGTTGCTCGCAAACGCCTTTGTTTTGTTATGAGCACATTTTTACGGCATACATGTCGAACAGTGTTTGCCCAATGCCACATATTGGCGTTATGCCAATCCATTTATGTTTAGTGGCCTAATTGATCATGTTACTTACTTCAATTAATTATTCTTTTTATGTAAGGTCTTCGTTTAGATGAAAAAGTCAGTGTCACGAGCGGATTCGAACCCACGACCTTCGGTTCAATACGCCGCTTCTCTGAACACGTTAGCTCAAGTGGTTAGAGCAGCAGCGTATTGAACCGAAGGTCGTGGGTTCGATTCCCCCTCGTGACACTGACTTTTTCATCTCAACCAAGACCTTATATAAAAATAATAAAATTAATTGATATAGCTGTAATCATATACAATGTCTCTAAATTCTTATATATTACCTACATTAAATTACTAAATTATTTAGTACCTACACCTATTATCGTAGTTTTGATTATTATTAATATGATTGAAATTGGATTCTATTACCTATTATCAAGAGGGTAAATCCTGTAATTCATAAGAGCGCACGATCTACCTGTAATAATTTAAAAAAATGTAATCGTTAACATCATTTTTAAAATTTTTCATGTTTCTTATTAAATGTGATGAAGTAGAGTGTAACCTAGAGCATTGACTCGTTTTCATTCTCAGATTCAATTCATTCATTCATGGACTTGGATCTGTCTAGCAAACTTAATACAATGTCGTCCTCCCTTCACTAATCTTTAATTTTGATACTCTCTTAGGATTTTAATGCTTAACTTGCTCTAACTTGGGCTACTAAATCAATTTCGCAGCTTTTTGAATATTCCTGTATCCAATTGTTATGTGTATTCTAACGTTATACGACTTTATCTTTGAAGGACGTCTTTATCCAATGTTAAATCTAGTATCGCGGGATAATTAAAAAAAATACGGGAGAATGGCAAGGAAGCATAGAACGTATCAATGAGAATAAATTTGATATGTATTTATCATTCTCCAGCCTTCATTTTCTCCTGGTTTTTTTTCTTTCGATTACTTGTTTTTATCCCTCCCATCGACAATTGACGATTAATATTTCTCAAGTATGGCGCTGAGTCAGCAAATTTAATTTTTTTTTCTGCGTTTAACTTGTAAACTGTTCAATATCCAATAAAGTTAGATATAAATTTTTGGCCTAACTTTGTTTACTTTATACTTGAAATGAATCGCCTTTCACATATTTACATGTTTTTACTATCACATAGGCAACATCTCTACTTGAATATTAATTAATCGTTATTGTTTTTAACCAAACAATAAGGGGTCCTGATTTCGACACCTGCCGGAGAAAAGTTGATGTCATAACATTAGCTGAGTTTAGTCACCAATTCGGCTAGTGAGAATCCATTCTCAGTAGAAAATTTATTAAAGAATAATATCCCTTTGAAAATTAATAAATCAATAGAGAAACTAGATGATGAGGTAATTTTTAAAATTTCTTGTAGAATACTAATTGTCTGTCGTTTTTACAACAGTCATCAGGCGTACACCAAACATGCTACGTTTGTTTTTACTGCAGATTTTATCGATGATTTATTAGTTTTACTAATGGTTGGAAACATTTTCTATCTCCTTCCTATAAAAATGGCATCAAGAATGGTGAGCATAACGTACAGTTTACATTTTATAGTGCAGCAGTAGAGATTTCTTCATGGGGTGAGGTGGTGGTCTGCGGGGGTGATGAGCTTATAGTTATGATCGTTTCCGATCATTTCGGTCTGCTTATCCTCGCTGGACTCGAAAACTACCAAATTACGTTTCCTCGTTTAGGCCAAATTGGCGTGCTAGAGTGTCTAAAGAATTCGAACATATGGCCCACAGAATTAGACAGTAATTATTTTCATGAGTTCGAGTTTAAAATAAGAAATAAACAGTTTTATTGATACCGGAAGAAAAAGTAAATTGACACGAAATTTTTATGATCCCTCGAAGGCACTTCAGACTTGACTTAGATGGCAGAATGTGTCGCAACTTCCTCCAGTCTTGACCGGATTGGGTTATGCTACCTTATTCCTTTTTAGGTTTAATCCAGAGCCCGTGCACTTGATTATCTTGTATAACACCTTGAATTTCTGATCCAAAAACTATTTAATCCTTTCATTAATAGGCCCTGAATTGAATATGTAAACATGAGCTCTTACATAAGAAGAGTTTTACAATCCTTGATAGCCCGGTGTAATAATGTGGTGTCTTCATTGTTTTACCTACTTTCAATAAACAACAACCTTGAGGGGCTTTGCAGATAAACTTAATCTAATTTGTATTCTAGTTTCTCTCGTCTCAGTCATCGTTTCAACTCTTTTGCATTGTAAATAATAAGATGCACATTAGTTAATAATCGATTAAAAAAAAAATAGGTAGGTTGGCGACCTAGTAAGAAAATCGTCAAATGTAAGAAAGGGTTTAGCTGACTGAAAATTGATTGCTTATAAACTAAGTAAATTAAATAATAAATTGATGAAAACAAATTCTTTTTATAAGGCTAAAGCAATCTTGAGCCTGCATGTATTATGTTAAAGATATGTACCCCGAGGGTTGATATAACCTCTGCTGTTACGAACCCTCATAAATAAAAAAAGACATATACAATACTAATGTAATTAATGATGCTGTGAGATAATGACGATACTTCTTCAAATTGCTAGAAAATCATTTTCCCAACGATAACTCATCAAAGTCGTAGAATAGGAATGTCAAATATCCTTTTCTGCCATTAAATTTATTTAATGGCATTGTAAAAAAAAAAAAATGTACAAAGTGTATAGATGTAATCGCCAATGGCCAAAGTTATTGCTCGCGCTTATTCGATTTATCGACTTAACAACAAACTTCGTGTATGTTTGTAGACCTGACAAGGAGTTCTTACCCCGCAGTTACGAATATTATAACATTTGATATTATTATATTAGGAGAGATATTGGAGAGGAATTACAAAAAAAAGTATTGGCTAAATACGGTTTTAGATCTTGTTTTCCAGTTGATTTTCTAAAAATTATAAACGCTATTTTCATTTTAAAAGATTTATCAACCGATATCTCTTCGTTATTTATAAACAAGTTCTGTTAAAAATATGATAAAAGCCTAGGGTTGTTTATGCGAGATCTGGTTGTTTTATTTACTGTACTTTGAGAACGACCAAACAAGAATGAGAGCCGGGTGGGATACAATTTTATTTTTACCAATGTGAGAAGATATGTTACATGTATCAAATAACGAACCTAATGCAGTTTTCATAACAAATGATATTATATATTCCGAAAAAATCTACTTGTAATTCATTCACCCTACATCGCTGCGGATCGAACAGTTAGTCAACTTATAAAATTATATAATGTATCATCAGTTTTATGAGATAGATAGATAGTCTAAACGATGGATAGACAGAGAGTCAGATAGATTAAAAGATAAAACAGAGAGAGATAGAAAGATTGAAAAGATAGATAGACAGAGAGTTAGATAAAGAGAGATGTATATATATGCAGGTAGATAGACTAAAAGGTAGATCGATTAAAATATAGATAGACAGAGAGATAGATAGACAAAAGCATAGATAGACGGAGAGACAGATGGATTAAAAGATAAGACAGAGAGAGATAGAAACATTAAAAAGATAGTTAGACACAGTTAGATAAAGAGAAATGTATATATAGACAGGTAGATAGACTAAAAGATAGATCGATTAAAATATAGATAGACAGAGAGATATATAGACTAAAGGAGAGATAGAAAGATAGATGGATGGATGGATAGATAGATAGACGGATGGATGGATAGATAGATAGAGCTAGATAGATAGATAGATGGACAGATAGATGGATGGATGGATGGATAGATAGAGAGATAGATAGATAGATGGATGGATAGATAGATAGAGAGATAGATGGATGGATGGTTAGTTAGACAGAGAGAGAGAGATAGACAAAGAGAGGTAGAGAAATAAATAGACTGAGGGGTAGATAGACTAAAAGTTCGATAGACAGGGATTGATATATTGACAGAAAGATAGATAAACGAGATTGATAGATAGATAGATAGATAGATAGAGAGAGAGAGAGAGATCTGAAAATAATTTGTGGAGCATCGAAAGTTTTATTCTATGTGGGGTATAAGAAGGTTATTTATAGCAAGAATAACGTTGTAAGTGAATACACCTTTATAATAACAAAATAATCTTTCAATCGTCTTTATTCGGATGCCTTTTCTGACGAATTTCTTGATCTGACTAAAACGAATTGGTTAAACATTTTTTTAACGAACCCACGTGTATATTTGCTGATTTGAACTCTAAAATCGTTTCTCCGATGTTCAAACCAAGAGGGGAAAAGTTTCACGTTTTATGACATCCGACTGGTTTAACAAGATTTGAAAAGGGATAACAGATTTACAAAGCAGACTGGCTGTGAGTCGAAGCCCGTCTTCCTCGAGTTGGCAAAACTCAAGAAACAGGAAAGCGTTTAACAGACCTGATGCCCGTTATTTTAAGTTCATTTCTCGTCGACCCGTTTAGAAGCCAAAACTGTTCTTCACGGGGTGCGGCCGCCACTCACCGCGGTTCTATTTGTACGTCAAAGCCCATCAGAGAGTGAATCACTCATTTATAAACTCGGAGATTTTTCGTTCTCTACATCCTTACCGAACAACAAAATGCATGGTCTGAAACTGAAAAAAGCATGTAGTGTCTATCTAAACTGCTCAAAATAAATAGATCTGGTTTGTGACTGGAATCACTAATCATGTGACATGGATCCACACACGAAAAGACCACTAGAAAAAGATCATTAATTTCTTCACTGAAATCATAGAAGGAATATCATCCCTTTCTTTGTCCGTTTACAGGGATTCAAGAGCTTAAAAATTGAGAAATTCAAGCGTTAATGCTGTTAACTCTACTACCATTCATACAAAAGACAAAGAACACGAAGGCAAACTTTCATGTATTTTTCCAACCCTTCGAATATCCATAAAGCATGAAGTTGTATTAAAATACGATATTTTTCTACTTTTCTCACAAATATGTTCACTTTTTGTGAAGAATGGGTTCCTATCCTTTACAAAAGGTGAATTGACATACTCTGTTATTTTGGTCAGTGTGTTGTTGATAGTCTTATCTCTAAAATAACCCGAAACTGAGCAACTTCAATCACTTGTGAACCGGCGGGCGGGTTGCCCGTTAGTAACGCGTCACTAATCAGTAGCATCATCCGCGCTGTCCCTCGTTCAGTTACATTATCATTGACTCATTGTGTACTGGTTAGTAACTGGAGTCACTAATCAGTTTCTTTTGAGTAGCTCCGTGTGTAGACGGTCTAGGCCCAGCGGTAATTTTTAGTTCTTTGGTATTTCGCCTTACAAAACCCAAAACAATACGAGAAACATGCTTTATTTATTGTGCTTATTATTATTTTTTAAATACGTTTTATTCATTTACTAGATTTTAGAAAGAAGTCATATAACTTTTAAATTGTATGTTATCTTGGATTAAAGCGCTTTATAAACCCACATTTTATAGATTTAAGAGATTGCTGGACAATAACA